GGAGGGCGTGACATGGTGACGCATGACACCGGGGAGATGTCAGATGCAGTGCCTTCCGCTCCCTCCCTCTCTCAGCCCCCACAGTGTCTTATCCCGTTAGGGCCTGCAGCGCCTTAACCTCTCTGCTTTCTCTGTCAGCTCTCCCCACCCCCATCCCTGGTGCCCTTCCCTATGACAGGGTGGGGACCCATCAGACTCCACCTGAAGAATTTTCTGTGATCCTCAGCTTCACCACCTGTCCTTCCGTCTCCCCGAGCCAACCACCATGGCGGGATCAGCCCCATCCACTGCCGTCCACTGAGAGAGGAATGTCTCAGCACCCTCCAAGGAGGCTGCCGCATAGTCAGGGTTTGACCTCAGCTGGGCCTTCATCCTTGCTTCTCTCCATCCTTTCTCCGGAGAGATTGTTCCACAGCATAGCGGTGGCCAAGGCACTGCCCTGCTTCAGACCCTTCGGAGGCTCCCTGGGGCCCTCGCATCCAGAAGGAGGCCGACTGGCCTCCCGCGTTGGGTTCGGGCCTCCTGCATTGGGTTCGGGCCTCCTGCGTTGGGTTCGGGCCTCCTGTGTTGGGTTCGGGCCTCCTGCGTTGGGTTCCGCCCTCCTCTCAGCCCGGCCGCTCCAGGGCCACGCCTACTGGGCTGCTCTTCCCTGACGCCGCCCCGTGGCGAGCCTTTGCCCCGCTGCTTCCCGAGCACCCTCCCCGCCCCTCACTGCTCTCGCTCCCTCCCAGGCCCCAGTCGGGCCTCTGCTTAGACGTCACCCCCCTCGAGGGTCCTTTCACCCCCTGGTGTGGGTTTGGACTGTTCCTTGGCCATGGCCGCCATGCATATCCTGCCCTGGCACCTTGAGATCCGGGAGTAAGGACGTGACGAGAAGGTGACACCTCTCCGCTAGGCCAGTGGCTCTCGGTGAACTGCAAGGGCAGGACTTCGTCTGTCGGTTTATTTCAGAAAAGACTTTTAAAGCCCTTCTGTTGCTGAAGCGGTGTAGTTGTCGGTGCTGTCGTCTCTGTTCTTCACGGGGGGAGGATGGGCGTTCGTGTTCAGGAAGCGTGTCGCACGTCCGGGCTAGCCGCTCTCCCCGGGGGCTAGCTGCTCTGTGGGGCAGGGTGCAGGGTGAACCGCCATCCCCCTGACCGCTGCCGCTGGGAGCAGGAGACGCACACAGGGACACAACACTGCTTCCTGCAGGTGTGCAAAGCTTTAAGTCCGTGGCAGCTTAGTTATCCGACACCTCTCGGCTTTAGTGCCTGGTCCTCAGCAGATCCTTTGGCATCCCCCAGGCGAGGAGGAATGCCCGTTCACGTCGCACGCCTCACACCAACCGGGTGCCCTCTGTGCGCTTCGCATCGAGTGAGTGCATATATAGCTCCTCGTCCAGTGATTCTTCCCTGAGGGAGGCAGCCACCCCTGGGGCAAAGGCCACCGTTGCCATGGTCACTGCTGCATCCCAGGGCCTGGCCCAGAGTCAGAGTGAGTGAGAAGTGCCTGAGAACCAGAGAGATTTAATTTTTAAAATTGCAAGACCACCGGAGAGGTCGCTAGATAAGAAAGCCTTTGCCTGTTTGCCTACTTCAGTTAAGCTGCTTCACATGTCGCATGCCTGCCCAGGTCCATTGCAGTCTGGATGTGGGTGTGACAGCCTTTCAGTCTGGGGGTGAGAATTCCTCAGAAAGATTTTCTGGTCCTTCCTCATCGATGCATTGGTTTCTCAGAGGAGAGTCTTAATGATGCTGTTAGTTGATAATCACCTTGAAGATTCATTTAGGATTCCAGGAATTTCTTTTGGAATCCTAAGCTCGATTGCCCCCCACTAATCATGAGGCAGAGGAGGGAGGAAGAGGAAATTCGAAGCTCCGCCACACAGTCCCATTCTTAAATGCAACCAGTAATTGAATGCTATTAAGCAAAATTAATTTGCCTCCTGCAGAAAGGTTTATGATGAATGAAAGGATTGCTGATCGGGGAGGGAGCTAGGCCACCCTCTGTGGTCATCAATATTTCATGGCTATAGGCGGCGGCAGGAAATTAGCTATCCTGGCTCCCTGACCTTGAGCCATCCTGAAGGAGGGACAAAGCCAGGGAGATTGTATTTCAAGGGCTTGTTACAAGGCACTGTAAAATGTAAGTGAAATTTAAATGCGCAAGATGCACCTGTGTTAATTGACTGCACATCCCCAACTAGTGAGAGGCTCCCCAGATGGGGCCGAGGGACCCACCTGAGATGTCCTAGTTGGGGATTCAGCACCGTCAGCCATGTGGCAGAGCTGAAATGTTTCATCATGGCCATTAGGGTGCGGGGGAGTCTTGATCTGTAGTGTCTGCTCATTTCTGTGGTGTCAGTATACGGCCAGCATGGCCAGCGTGGAGCTCCAGAGCTGGGAGCCCCAGCCTGCCACCCCCGGAGCTCCCGGTTCTCCCTGTGACTGAGAGAGAACCTGCCCAGCAGTTGCATTTCCGGAAATATACATGTGCTGCAGGCGGTACCAGGCGGTACCAGGCAGTCCCCACGTGGTACTGGGCGGTCCCCGGGCAGTACCATGTAGTCCTCAGACAGTACCGGGCAATACCCAGGCGGTCCCCAGGCGTTAGACTGGGCCCCTTGACTGACAGGGTGCCCGAATGCGACACATTTCAAAAATGAGAAAAGTTAATGAATCTTTCATTTTGTTCTTTCTTCTCCTTAGCTGCTATCAATTTAGCAAAGCTGAAACTTTTCAGACATTATTACGTCTTGGTGAGTAAAAAAAAAAAAATAACCCTGAATCTGTGAATAAGGTCAGTTCGAGGAGCGGAAGAAGTGGACTTATTTCGGGCTCCCCTGCAAAACCGGGCTGTGTCTTTGGACGAAGTGTCTGAGCTGCTGCTTTTTAAAGTTTAGTTTTAAATTCGGTTTTCACTACTCTGAAAAGCAATACCCGGTTGCTGTTTTAAACTTCAGGGACGATGGAAGCACAGCAGAGCCCGCGGTGACCCTGCGCGTCCCCCTTCTCGTCTCGGTGGTCACTGTTATTTCTGTAGATTCTCCCCTGGGCATGTGCCACACACAGCTGCTCCTCTGACTTGTTTTCCTTTATTCATTTACGAAAACGGAGTCACACTTCGATGGACATGAAAATTTTATATAAGCCTGAGCACCAAAGGCAGGATTTGCTATAAATTATTAGGAATAAAATTTCTTGGGAAATATAAAGTATGGGTCTTCTAGAGTTCGCTTCCTGACTCGAAAAGGAAGTTTCTCTGTGGTTTTGGCACTGACTGTCACCTTGGATGGTTCTTTTCCTGCAAGTCTGGCCACCCCCGTCCCAGTAGCAGTCCATGCTCGAGCGGCCAGCCTGTCGCATACTCGGCACAGTCTCCCTTGCTGGAGCGTTTAGTATTGTTGGTCCCTCCTCTGAGCGAGCATCACAGCACCTGTCGAAGAGACTGAAAGTCGATGTTTTCCCTGCGTGGCTTTATTTTGCTGTTGCTGCTGGAAAACATTCTTCTCAGCCTGGGAATGAGAAGTGCTACCCTTTGGGAACTGAAATCAGTAGGTTATATATGTGGGTAGGGCAAGGGACAGGTTACTCAAGGGTTAAGAGCAACCATACCAAAATGTTTTGCACCCCCGTGGGTGTAGCTGTTATCAGTATCTTAGTCACCTAGAGAGCAAGAAGCAATCCTTTTGTGTGACTAGCAGAGTAGTCATCTCAGCCCAGTTTATTATTAGCGCTATAAAATGTCAGATAATTTCCTTCAGGTTAGTTCCGTTTTGTTTTGTAGTTAATTTGAAAGCAGGTTGTTGGAAGAAAGAGGAGCCAGAATTTCGATTTCCATGTTTTTATGTTTCTTTCTTCTCTACGTAGATCGTATGTTACATATACTTCACCAGGATCATCGCATTTCTCCTCAAATTCGCTGTTCCGTTCCAGTGGAAGTGGCTCTACCAGGTAGGCTGCTCGCAGGGGACAGCGCCAGGGAACGGCTGTCTGAGGGTGCAGTGTGGGGCTGTCACTGAGGGTCGTTAGACATTTGTGTGGTGGTGGCCAGTCCCTTCTGGTCGGCAGTGAAGATTATCTGTCTGGGAAAGCTGCTGGATTACGTGAGAAATCTGGGAGTAATTGCATTATTGATTTTAGTGTTCAATTTGGAAAGTCTTTGAAGAAAAAAGCCTCAGGGCGGGAGAATAAGATTTATTCTGTATAATGGAAACCTAGACGAGACGGGGTCTTCTCCATCGGTTTCGGGGCTCAGGACAGCTTAGAATCCAGACCTCCCTTCTGTGCCCATTATTATTCTTTCAATGATAAAGTCTCTTGGCAACGTGCTAGCACTAGTGTCACTACCAGGGGAGGCCACCGAGTGGTTTAGAGACTTTCATCTTGGAGCCCTCACTCGGCGCGCTAGGCGCTGTAGGAAATGCAGGTTCGCAGTGACCCTTAAAGGTAGCAGCGGAGACGCCAGCTGCAGCGAGGAGTCCGAAACGTCATCCCTGGGCTGGACGCTCCCAGCCGAGGCCTCAGCGCATCTTCTAAGGAAAGCGCTGCCTGGCAGTGGACTCCAGCATATGAGCGAGTGGCCGTGGAGGGTTCACTGCCAGGGGGCGGGGGTGTCCGCGTGTTCAGTTCCACTGCTTTGCTAATGCCTTTATTTTGGGGTGGTTTTACATTCGTAGCTCCTGGATGAAATGGCCACGCTGGTGTTCTTTGTTCTCACGGGGTATAAGTTCCGCCCCGCTTCAGATAACCCCTACCTGCAGCTCTCTCAGGAAGAGGACGACCTGGAAATGGAATCTGTGTAAGAAATGCCCTCCCCGTCCTCCCCTTTTTTGCCCCTTTGCCAATGAAGAGCAGCACGGGGTGCATTGGAGCAGGCGCTCCAGGTGGGACCTCTGTTTTTAGCAGAAGGAAATGGACACTCAGGTCCAGGCCCTCTTACTCAGTTCCGAGTACGGGACCTGCCAAGCAGGGCGCCGTCGGTCCAGGGAAGTTAGCGTTGGCCATCCTTGTAAGCGTCACGGGAGCCTCCTCCCCGTCACTCGGTGTCAAGAACTCGGGGACGTACTGGGCCGGTTCCTAACCGCGGAGCGCGGGCATCCCCACTTCCTGCTGGGCCCCAGCCATCGGGAGCCTGTGTCTGAAAATGTGATCGTCGGAGTCAGCCTTAAGTCTGCGAGTTACCGTCCAGCGTCCTTTATCATCAGATAACTAAGTGGCTTTTCACGGCTAGCGCAGGGACTTGACCTATATTTGAGCATTAGAATGGGCCTCTCTGAGTCACAGCGTAAGTGACTCTAGGGTCCTATTTCTGGGAAAGGGCAATCATTTTCTAGAAAAGCAAATAGTGATTAAGGTTTTCGCTTGTTCACTGATGAACTGTGATGGGCCAGGTCAGTTGCTGTTTGATAATTAGCCTGAGGCTGAGTTTCAAGTGCGCTGCCTCCAGCACAGTTGGCCTTTTGATTTTTCCCAGTGACCCCCGCTGGGCTCTGCTGGGCTGGCGGGCAGGCCGGGCCCCGTGGGACAGCTCTCCGTGCTCAGCTCCGCTATGAGAACAGTAGACGGGAGGCAGAGCCTGCCGATGGGCCCCAGACAGCTCCTCCCTGTGCACAGACGTGGAAGGGAAAGCAGGGGAATCCTCAGACGTGCCTTTTCGAGAAGTAGCAGAATCTGCGTAAGTGACTTTGGCTCAAGAGGCACGAACGGGAGTCGGGAGTCTGGTGAGCAGCAGCGTCAGGAAGTAACCTCCGATGCGGTGCGTTTAGCCTCCCCTGCTGGGAGACCTCTGGCTGTTTCCAACTCCGCACAGCAGGGTTTCTCCGGGTCACCCCGGCCGGGTCAAAGCATCTTCCACTTTACTCACTTGTGCTCCCAAAGGGCTGTATCGGTGGGTGTTCCCGCTCACAGTGCCGGCGTTCCCGTTCCCCACGTCCTTCCCGTCAGCCGTTGCATCGGAAAGTGCGATGCGTCCTGAAGGTCTTTTTGTCTCATGCCAAAACTGTGTTTTGGTTTTTGTTTCTCTCTGACAATATTTGATCATAGTGGTAGCCATTTTAGCGAGAGCGTCTGCAGTTAGGTCAGGGGAGGAAAGGAAGGTGTAGTTAGACCACTGATCCAGCGCATTCTGTATTCTGGCAAGACTTGGGAAAAGCCGGAATGGCTTTGGGTGCCTCAGATTACACGCCTGTCACAGGGGGAGGGTACCCTGAGCACACTGAGTTTTTGGTGGTTTTGTGGGAGCCACCCTGTAACAGGCAGTGACTTCTCTTCGGTGGCAGAAAGACTGCATGCGTAACAGGGAGAGGGACAAACCGAAGGCAGGTTTTTTTTAGGAGGGTGGCACTCCCAGTGAGTGCTAGCCCAGTTTAGCCTGTGACAACAAGTTTAGGAGCCAATTGAGGCCAAACGCCCTTAAATCAGCAAGGAAATTGTTTGGAGATTTCTCTTTGGCTAAGAACTCTGTTGTTGAGAAAGTTCTCTGAATGTGTACGTCATGACAGCACAGCAGGCCTGAGATGGAGGCTGCAGCCACCAGCCTGCCATCCACGTTCTCCTGCGGGCGAGCGGAAAGGCTAACTGCAGCTTCACAGGGCCACCGCCGCGCCCCAGGCTGCCATCTCCCTCTTCTGCTTGGCCAC